ATTTGAAACGTGGAAAATATTTCTATCTGAAATACACAGTGGCTTCATAAAGAGTTGCTTAATAAATCTAAAAAGTATCGCAGCTGAGAGCTCGGCCCGGGCTGCGGATTAATTGCTAGTTGCCATATTGTACAGAGGACAAGACTGGCTCAGATACAACTAACGTTGATATAACGTCCTATAACACATACATTTAATAAAGTTTGTTAGACTTATTAAATTCCTATACAACATTTATTTTGAAATGACTATATTGATACAGAGTATTAACAATGTGAAATTTCCAGAACAGAAAATAACTTAGTTTTGAAAATTCAAGTGATGCTAACTGCGAGTATGGAGCACTAACTTAGCAATCACATTTCAGTAGGTCTGGTTGAACACAGTAATATCAATTTTTTGCTCAGCAGTGATGTTTAGTGTATCAATGCAGCTTTATAAATATGTTTCGTGGGCTATGGTGCATCGGAACCGTTACAGGACTAATTGAATGGCGTGGCGTGCAACGTAACATGTCACGCGCAGTGCCGCCGTGCCGTCACCGGAGCGCAATGATTGCTTCACTTTTTTGTCACAGTTTCACCTGAACGATACCTTTTTTCAGCCATGTTAAAATATCGTAGCTGCGAACCAATTACCTGGCGATATGAATACAGCGGATCCATTAAACAGTTAGTTTTCCATACGGTACACTGTTTACTGTTTTTATCGAGCTTTCAGGTAGCTGTTTATGTACGTAAGTACCTACTTGCATGAAGCCTGCAATAATGTCTTTATACTGGTAATACATGGGGATATATTCTTAGCTTACTCAAGCTTATAACGAACTAGCGGCCCGCCCCGGCTTCGCACGGGTGCAATATGAATGTATTATACATACAAACCTTCCTTAAGAATCACTCTATCTATTAAAAAAAACCGCATCAAAATCCGTTGCGTAGTTTTAAAGATCTAAGCATACATACGGACATACAGCGAAAGCGACTTTGTTTTATACTATGTATTGATTGATAACAATTTCATTGTTATGTCTTTTCAGACGTTTAGCAATTCACATAATATACAATCATTACTCAAAATAACTTGCATTCATTTTAACCGCTTTTATTGATGAAAAGTAAGTATTTAAATTAAAAGTACCTAGTGGATGCCAGAAGGTGTGCAAATTAAATATCAGATCGCACGATCTGATACATACACAATAAAAAAATTAATAAGAGATATTTTCATAACCAAATTAAAATATCTGATTTATTAATTCATTACGTATACCGTACATTTTCATTTTATGATTTCAACAGATTTTATTGAATAAGTATTCAGGTTTGTGTACGGCATTTAAATTTTCATTTCGCATTTTATTTATTTTGCTTTGACTTTTCACCCTTCCTGTTCACCTTTTTAATGAAAGAGTGCACTTTCAGGATTTCACATACTGTTTCCAATGAATCGTGTTTGAAATAACTATTGTGTGTTTCCTTATTCTTATTTTAATACAAGTTTCTTAAGTTTAACGCGACGATATATTGTTTTCAAGTTTAAATTAACAATTTACAGTGCCATCTCGCGGTGTAATAAGTGTTACAATATCCAGGATAGTAAGTACCCTAGTGAACTAATTGGTTGAGTGTTTGTGACTTTGGATTTGTACCACTTCTGTACAAAAGAGATTTTTGTACCAACCTATACCTAATTACAGAGGCCTAAGTACGAGTTTGTTTCACTCGGTTCGGTAGTCTGATTGGCCGGTGCCAATGAACCAACCAATCACAGCGCCGAACGCGTACTCGTTACGATTACTTTAAACGTAAATCAAACTCGTACTAAGGCCTTAGGTATTATTATGCCGGTAATCGATAGGAAAACTGTATAGTTGAAAAGTACAGTTTTAACTGAAACTATACAAAAGAATAGGTAAAACCTGTTGAAGTTTCGATTTAACTGTACGATTTTCGTAAGGTCAGTAGCCTGCATTAGAAGGAGAATACCATTAGTTCGATAGGTACCTTATTCTAAACATCGTGTGAATTTTAAAATGTCTTTATCTTATATCTTAAAATTTTCAGCAACCATGGAAATGTAAGATAACAAAATGAACCACTGAGTGCGACCTTCTAGTATTTGGTTATTGATTTTATGTCGTTCGTGTAGGCGAAGCTGATTGATATAATTTTCCTTTCGCTCAAGGAGATTAGCGAGCGAAATTAGAAACCACGCTCAACTCAGATTTACATTATTTACTGTCAGGTGGTTCCAACTCCTCCTGTAATTAGGGATTTTTAAGAATTATGACCAATATGATGGTTAATAACTAGATAAGAATAATGAATTAGGTCGTTTTCCAATTCACCATAAATAAATAAAACCCATACATAAAACCATTTTGGTAGAGTTGTTTAGATTTTGTCAGAGTTTTGTTATATTTTTTCTGGATAAGATTTCGTTATTATTTCTTGTGCTGAGTCGGTAAGTAAGCGTTGAAAAATAAAACCAATGTACAATTTACCGGAGACATGTCGACGCCTCCGACATAGAAACTGTCAATGCAACAAGTATCGATGGCGGGCGGAGGACGCGGAGATATATTCCTCAATCCGTCCTCCTGTACACAAAAGCCACGCACAAGTAATATTGTAATATCGTACCTTTTTCCTATGAATGGAATAACACCTCATTTGTCAAAAGGAAAAGAAGGGGAGTCGGCGAGGAAATATGTATTGTATCTACTTATACATTTACATGTTTTAAGAAATAAAGGGGAACGGAGGAGGTTGGCCTAAATTAGCAGGATGTTTTGCAGGAAATATTAAACTGCGAGACTCGAATGGCTGATTTAGTTGCGCCTGCTCCGCGTTTAATTTAACCAAAGAATACAACACAAATGCATCGGATTTCACAAACTTACTATGTAGATAAAGCGGAGAATAAATCTTATTGGTTTTACCTGGTTTACCTTATCTGTGAAAAGCGAACCCTTTATTCGGGGCAATTTCAAAGAGAAAGGAAGAAAAAGAAAAATAGATTTAACGAACGTTTGGTAAAATGGGACAACAGTTGAAAAAGTATAAAATATCGGAGCTCGGCGAGCAAGCCACAACACGAGTGAGTCTTTTTAACAAAGTGTCGGACGAAAGCGCGGATAAAAGGATATTCCTGTAGAAGGGATAATTCTTTAAGGATAGTGAATTGCGAGGGGTCGGGGCCTGCCTTAATGCCTTTGATTGACACTCAACATGCTTCTGAGTTTAACGCGGACATAACTACTTACTTTATCGCCTCAACTTTTTAAACTAGATTCATTTTTGAAGTTGCGGCGTAGTCCTAGGTGTATGATGTAGGTACACCTACATTTGTACTTTATGTATTGCATATAGAAACACCAACTGTCAGCAGTTATACTTAAATCAGGTTAAATACAAAATGCCAAAATTTTTTATCACTTAACTGACATTTTTGTGCTTTTTTGATGTTGTAAGTTAAAATGTATTGTGTCCGTCACTGAACTACTGTTATTTTTATCTGTACAAAAAATGTTACCAAGTTTCTTGCTAACATCAATATCACAGCGGGCTTTAATAGCTAACAAAACACAATAACACAATCTCTATTGGAGTGTGTGTGTTAAAAAGGCACATGGTATAATATTAGTTTTCTATTTTAATAGTCGGCTAAATGCTTCAAAGTATCACCATACTGGAATTTCATATCTCTCATTTTGAGATTAATTTAGTGTCAACCGTCGCCTGTTGTAAAATTCCGCGCGCCATTTTGCAAAAACATTTTAAGTTAAGGCGAGTCTTTTAAAAAGGAGAATACAAACCTTCTAAGAACGGTTTATCGTTCATCACGATCTAACTTGATATCCAACGTAATTATGAACAAAGTCTTATTTCGTCCTCCTTGTGACGTAATCTCGAAAACAAACAGGTGAGCTCGTCGGCACCACTTGAAGCAAGATATCAACTTCGTTAAGTTAAAAGTGAATTCTTTACAATGTTCAGTTTTAATAATTATCTGCTTTCTTTTGTTGTGAGAGAATTGAATTTTCGGCAATTTCCCATTTGCCGGGTTTTGTGTAGGAAATGAGAAACAACGAGGCTGACGTCAAAAATGTTTACGCGAATACGGATATTTTTGTAATTGACTTTTAAGGAGCGCACAATATCTCTGTATTACGTAAAATGTTTTATAAAACGCTACTAATTTAATTTACAAATGAAAATACTTTTTTTGGGAAATATAAAAATTTGTTTGCTTCAAGTTAAGATGTTCCTAAATATGGTTTCAAAATCTAACGCAAAATAGATATTTAATTATTTCTTCGTAACAGAATTGAAATTGGTTTCATCTGGACCAGAAATGTCTATATTAATCACGAAATGGAAGTTCTACCTCCAAGAAATTAAAACTCGAAGGAATATCAAAGAGCACCGAATTCAAATTATTTATATTTAAGTTACATTTTTCATTTTGTTTATCTTTTACTGGAAATAATATTCATGAAATGATTGAAGTACATTTTGGTTTTACTTAAATACAAAGTTAAAAAAGAACTTATTTAAAAGATTTTTTCGTTAACATAAAAAGTAAACATTATGTCAAAAGAGGTAATCCTCTTTAACTAATGTTAAACACTGCAATCATTGATTCTATTACTTTGAGACTAATTGCGCGGAATTGCAAGCAAACAGAATCGAAATGTTTACAAGAGAAGCTACGCCACACTACGCCACAATACGAAGCGCTATACGAGATCTCCGATACGCCATTTCGGGGACAATTAATTGCAGTTTTAGTTGCAAACTTTGCATTGCTACAAACGGGAGTCGAGGGCTGGACATGAATAATTTATTTGGAACTTTTTGTGGCGACACGAAAAAATATTCGTGATTGTAAATCTTTTGTACTGGTTTACACAAGGGGGCAGGAATACGGAGATAAAACTTGTATATTGCGAATGAATTCGGTGTTGGTTGTTTGTGTTGCTAAATTCAACTTACCATGGGGTGTTGCAAGTGTGGGTGAGGGTCATGTACCGCACTCCCAACTGGTAGTAGGATCGGAGCACTCCCAAAGAGTTGGCGATAGAGTGACCTCCTTCAATGCCGATGAGTGAAGCGATCTTGCGAGGGCGAGCGCTGTGGGCCTCCAGGATATCTGAAATAAATATTTGTAGTGTAATGAACCGCAAAATATAGGTTGATCATAATTATTCATAAGCACAGATTAACATATTATTACATCCATATTTTCATCCAGTTCTGTTTAGGGACTAGTGACAGAATCCGTGCCACCCTACAAATGATTTTTAAAATTAAAACACCTTAATAATACTTTTCTCGATTCAGCAACACTAACCCCAGCTATCTCGAGTCTCATCATGAAACAATGACACTGTCATTATAATTAAGTTTTAAGTGAACGCAATAAATCATGGACCTCATGCATCCTGTTGCCATCGCGTTTCAAGCTCCAAATTCAAGCATGGAACTGGCTAACAATACCTTGTCTACATGTGTTAGCTGTGTAATCCCTGTCTGTCCTAGTGACGTAAGCTGAGCTGCAGGTATTGTGTGACCATCTTAAGGCTAGTATGATTCTAAGATGACAGCTTCACTTTCTAAATATTATGTACTACTTATGTAATATGATTTTTTGTTAAGTCTTCTTATATTTTACAGGCGTTTCCTGGTTGAATTGTCTAGTTATTTTAGGATTATTTTAATAAATGGCTTAGTGTCAATCCCTGCACCTCTTTGAAATAGATTCAATTTAGACGTAAATGTATTTTGGAGGACATAATAATAAAATAGTAATTTTAATGCCGGTGGTTAATCCATTTTGATTATTTAAAATAATATTCGCCAACGCAAAAGTTTCGAGTGTACCTACTAAATTTAAACTTAGAATATCTTTCGTTTGTTTGCGAATGGATGGAGTAGATATTAATAATATATTTATTCAAAAAACTAACTTCAAGTCTGTAAACTGAAACTTACGTTCAAAGTTTGCGTTCAATGTACAGAGAGCTAATCTCGCCGATGGTCTTACAAACTTTAAGTCCCTCTATTTTTGTATGAATATTATATTCATGTGAAGGGGAGGCTAAATTAATTAATGACGTTTGTGAATGCGCCACGAAAGTTGGGATGAATATTTTATGGCGTCAGTGCGCGGGGCAGCCGCCATTGTTAGAAAAGTATTTACCAAGAAGTCTATTGTCTTTTCTACTTCTACTTAGAAAGGAAACGAAACTAACTTTGGCAATATTTTATGATGATTTTTATGTAGATTAGTGCGCGTTAAAGAGTTGAACGTAAAACAATCGAAGTAACTTCAGTCACGACGAAAATAAAAATCCTACCATATTTCATTACAAACATTCATTTTGTAAACACGAAGCCGACGCCGACGATCGTAAATATTACGAAACAGACGAGTTTCCTACAACGCTTACAATAATAAGATATCTTGCAAACTCAATTACGCAAAATATTCATACAATTACGGAATACGAATAAATCAAAACGCTGAAAGAGAAAAATAATACGAAGAAAAACAAAAACTATAAATTACAAGAACGGTGCACGACAAATCCGGCTATATCCGCCGCGAGTCGGTTTTAAAGTTACAAATTAGTTTAGTCGCTCCGAAACGGCGTAGTACGCGTACTACGACATCTCGGGGTATCGTTTAAAACAAAAACCGTTTTTCTTTTATACAGTTTACATTTTAATATTTTCATTTCATTTCTGAAAGATGTTTCTTGCTGTATTTCTCTTTTTTGCGTTTCCGTAACTGAAAGGTGGCAAAAGGATCTTGTTAGTGGTTCTAAGGCATTGCTATCATCATTTCTTTTGCCTTTTTGTTTTTCGCTTGGTGTAGAAATGCGTTCTTTGAATTAATACTTACCATCATCCAGCGTTAGCGACTGGGAGACTGTGAGTAGATAGGTACGAAATTATGGATGAAATTATGTATAGAGTTTTCGTAAGTTTAATTCTTACTGTACTTAGGACCGATTTTTGCAACGCCAGATAAATTGTAACTAAGGAATAACTTTGAACATTTGACATTTCTTCCATACTAAACACTGCCACTTTTAGAATTAGCGTTAAGAATTAGATTACATTCAAAAATCGACCCTAAACGAGTATAATTCCGGTACTTCAAAGCTTAGATCACACATCAACATACATCTTAGATCATACATTGAACCTAAAATAAACAATTACAATGAAACAAATGTCAAAGATTTTTGCACGCAACTAGCAATTCAGAATCTTGAAGCAAATTTTTTCAGAACATTTTCTTTCCCGTAATACGGCTATATTAAGCACGTACCTTCACTTGTTGCTGTTAGTGATTTAAATGCTTATTTTATCTTAGTCTTTTTTGTAGCACTTATTACAACAGCTTAATAGAAATTGTACTACATCGGCAGCGGGTTTCGCCGCGATGCCGCGCCGAGAGACAACCATTAATGAAAATGCTCTTGTCGCCGCTTCTATAAGAGGCTTTCAATAATCTTCTTAGCAATTAACTGTAGACTAGACTTTACTTTTCTTTTTTTTTCAAATTCCTATAGACATGATTCAGGTAAATATTAAGTATTTAATGTTATCAATCTTTCTCATGAGTTTTAATATTTTAGCAGGATCTGATCTCAATTTTGACAAAATTTCTCGTCTTCTATACCGAATCCATCGTGCACACACAGCTTGGAACTATAGTTTTTACCGATATTTTCCACTGTCGGATCATACTCTATTGTGACATCGATGCATGAGTCGGACCTTTCACACTTATTGTATTGTAACAAAACTTTTAAGAATGTGACCATTCATGTTGTGACTTTGTGACGAATCATTGCTAAGAAAATGCGACAATTTCTATTATAAAAACTTGAGATCTGTAGAATTTTAGAGGTTTATCATTAAATTTCTTCTCATTTTTACACTTCATCGTACATTTTACACGATATTTTTACGCGTAGGTTATCATTATTTTCAGCTATTTCAAGTTACAAAACTTTTCCAATCATTCTTATATTCCATACAGGCGTTGTCGAAAAAAAACAATCAAATAAAGTAAAATTGCAAATTGTACGTTTTTATATATTCGTTTAGCTTGTACATTTTTCAAATGGATTGAATAATATGTATATGTAGTATAATTTAATTTCTGTTACAAAATAGTAAAAAAGTAGTAGAACTGGCAGAATTTATACAAACATGTCGACAGCTTTAAACATGTTAATGAATACTACGAATTGAGCAGAGAGGCGACACATACACAAAATATTTCATTAGAGTTTTTTTCAAAAACATGTGTGGAGTGTGTTCCCTGTGTAATTTCGGTACTTGTTTACACTGAAATACTCAGTGATGGCAATATTGCAACAACTTAATATACGTTTTTACTAATAAATTAATATTCCGTACATAGTTTTTAAAGTAGATTGCGGTACAGTTTTAATGATGTTTTCTTAGTATATTTTTATATTTATTTATATATGACAATTTGGTCTCATTGAATTATGAGAGTGATGGAAGATAAAGAGTACCGTACTTGTTTTGCACGATTGTCTCTGCACAGTTGGTGATATACGAACTGCCTAGCCCCCAAGCGGTCTCCGGTGACCGCTCTCCACTTACTGGAGCTATAAGCTTTATTTCCGATGTTTAGAGACTACTTTTGTATGAAAATGATTTAGATTTTTCATAATCAGGGATAAAGAAGTCTGTAGTTGGCTTTATTGGTTGCTATGCTTGAATGTCTAATACCGACAGATAATGTAATACCAGCTATTATTACTAAGGTAGTTATAGAATATAGAATTTGTTGGTACCTGTGACCGATGTTGCGAACTGCAGATCATGCGGGTACTTTTCCACGAGACGTTTGATCACGTCGATTTGTTCCAGAGTCAGCTGCACCGCGTCTTTGTTCTGCGTGGCGCATGGGACGAACGCCGACCAAAACTGTTGGAAAACAGAGAAAACCGTTAAAATTTATTGATTTTTCTTAAATACAATATTAGTTGAAGAAATCAGTACTTGGTATTGTACAATCGTTTATCTGATTTTCATCGCTAAGCTGTATAAGTTGGGATTAAACGTGGAACAAGATGTTTCAATTTAATCTAGTTAAAATGGCAAACGATCGGATCTCAGCGCTGAACCAAAATAGCTTTCAGATGTACAATATTGGATTAGGTGTCGAGTATCCAGGCCACGAGCCTGCTGCCATCATACTGGAGAATAAGTTATATCTCTTAATTTAACAGGTCGAGTATTTATTTGAAGCGACAAGCCAATAAATGTCAGGATAATTTACTTTTGATGACGTCGATCACCATAGAGTTAAATAAACTAATTCATGATTTGATTTTTTTATAATATTGGTAGTAATTTTAAATAATATCAAATAATAAGGCCTGACAGGTATCAGATATAGAAAATAAATAAATTTCATCCTGTCCTGACCTATATAAAAACTGTATAACGTCTAAAATAAAAGCATTATAAACAAAATCTCGAAGGTCATGATATCAAATAAATTTTAAAGAAAACCTATATATAATTGGAAAAAAATGTCCAGCGACTTTCTAGGAGTGGTGTTCGATGCTGGTTCACAGTCCTTGAAGGCAGGGTTCGCAGGGGAACCTTCTCCAAGGACAATGGTGCCCAATATTGTAGGCAGGTTAGTACAGCAGGAACAAAAAAATCAATGCATTGAAAAAAAAAACACATGAACTTACACCAATTAGTATGAGAACTATTGTGAGGCATACTGTATTAATCCTTTGAGTACCGTCATTATAGACACAATTAAAGAACAATAGGTTGCGGTCACCGGTTTCCTCGCGGTGTTTGACAGTTCAATAATTAAAACTGCCGGTTTGCTCATATAAATACTAAAAAATTTTAAATGCTAATTTCAAGTCATATAGGGACTCTTCTTCATGAGCAGTTACGACACTGCGTCCAGTTCCGAGCTTGAAACGACTTGCAACTAGTAGATCTTTCCTCAGTATTTACGTAAACTCCAATTAGTTATAATAGATTATTAACTTTTATTTTTATATTCTGATGCCTCTTAAGATAAGAAAATATTACTTCTAGAATGGATGTGACTCTTCTTCTGTTGTGGGTATCTATATTGTGGTGATAGTTTGTTCGTTGATACAATACCATGAATCAGGGGTTTATAACATTTCTTTAATTACACCGGTTGGAATAAGTTGATGTATCATCAGATATTAACTAAAATGGTATCATAATAATTCTATTTACTAGAGAAGGTAGCTAAAATACATGTAGCACCATTTATTCCGAAGGCATAAAAACATAAAGGTTCTCAAAAGGTACCTAAATTATCTTCTAAGATCTTAACAATAGCTAAGAATTTTCGAAATCGAATGAGGATAAAAGTAGCCTCAAGTAGGATCACTCTTATACATAAAATCTTGATTGTTTAATTCAGTGTAACATGAGTACCTTCTTTGCCTACCTTTTCAAAGATAATAATGTAATACGATTTAAGATGATTTTAAATTTATGACTACTGATTAAAATAGACTGCCTCATTGGTCAAGTGGTCGCAAGCGCGACTGCCAGGCAGGGTTTAATTCCCGGGTCGGGCAAAGTATTACTGGGTTTTAAAAAAAATCTCAGTATTAGCACGGAGACTAGAATTGACACACCCTATTACATGGAACTCATAACATAAATAGTGAAAAGTGGGTGTTACATTGTATAGTGGCATAATGTGCACCTCTGCCTACTTCTTCGGGGATAAAAAGCGTGATATTATGTAATGTGTGTATAAGATGCAATAACATTGAGACTATACGCAACTATCGGTCTGATAACTTCTTCAATACAATTACTTCCGCAGCTCTATCTTTAAGTCTTAGTATTTCCTATGATGTTTACAAAATGACAATAACGCTAAGCGACTCCTAACTTTCATTTTAATATTCATACTCGGCTTTAGTCGTCTACTTTCTAACTCAACGGAACTGTTCCTCTTAATCTCATCATGGACCTTATTGAACGTCAAAACACGTACTGTAAATATTTCTTAACTCAAGACAAAATGTATTTACAACTTTACTATAGGTTTATATTGTAGCTCTAGAAAGTTCCAGAGAGGACAAACATCAAGTATGAGACATTAAAAACTTGCACATGGCTCGGTTAATATCACAGTCCTTACGTTATACCGCAGAATAGAAAGTCAGAAATATTGGAGCACTCCGACCGCCGCCGGTCAAGTTGCATTCAACTCCGAACTAGTTTTATACAGATGGACGACAATGGCTCGCCTCTAAGTCCGGCTACCTAGCCGCTACACTCATTTTTGTATTTTACTTCTTGTTTCGAAACTTCCCACAATGGTTTATTACTTGTTTTTTTAACTTCTGCTGCCGTCGTAATTAGACGGACTTTTATTTATTTATTTATTTATTCGAAGGAGTACGGCCACATCACAAACATATAACATTGAAAATACACAATAGTAACAAAATAAGGGTCTGATGCATGCGACAATAATGGCGTACATAGCATTGGCAATTCATAGGCTTAACAGTGGCTTAAAAATAAAATACAATTTGAGAATTACGGAAAATAAAACAACAACAATATTCCACACCATACACACATTGAAACGAGAATTTAACAAGTTCAATTTTCTATATAATTATCTTATGTCTGATTAAAACAAAACAAATTAACAACAAAAACAACAAAAATTAATTAGAATGTATGCCATATTAAGTCTAATAATAATAATTTAATACAGATATAATATAATAAAATGTCAAATCATCGTCAAGATTTCAAAGAAATGTCAATTAAATCAGAATCAAAATAATTTCAATAATATAAAGAAATGTCAGAGTTTAAAACAGATGTCAAAGTACAAAACAGCAAGCAGCACCAACAACAACAATAACAAACGATACTATAGTGCATCAATAATCCTGCCTCTAAATACTCTTAATCCATCGTGGAACACGTCAAGATCGGGTATTATTGAGATAAGGGAGTGGTACTCATCAATTATTCTACGGAGAGGTGCCTGCCGTCCCAAATTAGACTTTACCGGTGGAATGTAGAAAATGTATTTAAGTTTTCCTCGAGGATAGACACGGGGGACACGCAGAGGCATGTTCTCCAGAAAGTAGCTACACCGGTAATGACCACCTATGATTTTGTGAAAGAAGGTCATGTCCAGCAAAAGTCTTCGCTCACGAAGAGAATGCATTCGAAACCTAATCAAGCGCTCTTTATAGGGATTCCTGTGAGAAAATCCACCAGTGTTATAAGCAAGGTGTCTAGTGAACGCTCTCTGTATACTCTCAATGCGCTGCGAATGCACCGCATAAAACGGACTCCACACAACACTGGCGAACTCAAGATGACTACGGACCAAGGATTGGTAAAGCAAGATTTTAGTGCGCTGATGTTTAAATCCAGTCGAGTTCCGTCTTAAAAATCCGAGCATTTGAGCCGCCTTTGTGACAGACTTGTCAATGTGTGAGGTGAACCTAAGCTGACTATCAACTATCACGCCAAGATCCCGGATTTCGTTGACCTCCACTAATGCTGTATCACCAAGCATGTATTCCGTTGCAATTGGCTTCCTTTTTCTTGTAAATTTGATATGAAAACATTTACTGGCATTAAGATTCATACCATTGACGCGACACCAGTCCAGTATCGCGTCCAGGTCACCCTGTAGTTGACGAGAGTCACCAACGGAATATATGGTTTTATATATTTTGAGGTCATCGGCAAACAGTGACACCTTGCAGTGTCTTACTTTTTCAACTATGTCGTTAATGAAGATTACAAACAGAAGAGGTCCCAAATGCGATCCCTGAGGAACACCAGTATCGGCAAAATAGATATTTGAGTTAAATCCGTTGACAGCCACCGACTGAGGTCTTTGCCCTAAATAGGACTCAAACCATTTCAAAAGTGCCCCATCCACACCCAATCCATACAATTTCCTCAGAAGAACGGAGTGGTTAACTTTATCAAAGGCACTGCTAAAGTCAGTGTAGATGGCGTCAACCTGCCTGCCCGAGTCAACTTCATTGGATATATTAGAAATGTAAGGGACCAGGTTTGTGACGACTGAGCGACCACGTCTAAAACCATGCTGTGAATCTGAGATGCTGTCATCCACAAGCCGACAGATCACTGGATAAACAATCGACTCAAATAGCTTGGAAAAGCAGGACAGAATGGAAATAGGACGATAGTTTTGAACGTCAGAATTTTCCCCTTTCTTAAAGACCGGAACAATGCGTGCCCTTTTCCACTCCGACGGAAATGTCCCATCTGCTAATGATCGATTGAACACTAAGGTCAGAGGCAAAGCCAACGCAGAACCACATCTTTTCACAAACACCGGCGGAATCGCATCCGGGCCGGCACCCTTCACAGCGTCAATTTTTTTAATCGCTTTAAGCACCTCAAACTCCTTTATCGTGAGCGAATGCAAACTCTGTTGTAAAGACGCGTGACACGGAGTCGCAAGCAAAGCAGCATCCGAAGGAGCCGAGCCGGACAAGTAGATCGAGGCAAAATGTTCTGCAAATAAATTTACTATTTCAGGGCCTGTGTTTCCGACCTGGTCTTTTAAATTCATTGTTGCAGGTATTGATGATTTGCCTCCTCTTTTATGTTTAATAAAACTCCAGAAGAGTTTAGGGTTTTTTGGGATGTTAGCTTCAATATTGTTTTTGTATTCAGAGAAGCATCTATCGTATATTGTGTGACATCTAGTACGAAGCAGGTGGTATTCAATTTCGTCTCTGGGGTTTCCATATTTTTTGAATCTTTTCCGTATTTTTTCCTTTTCGTGTAACAATTTGATAAGCGAGGTGCTGAACCATGAAGGAAACTTGGATTTATGGATCGTTGGTTTCGGCACAAATTCGTCTATGAGATCAGTCAGTACTTGA